GTAAACAAATACTATAAAAAAGAGAGGTAAGAACTGACTATAATTCTATTTACGATTTAAACTTACTTCATCTCGTACAGTTTCACTAACACGTGATCCAGGCAAAGAAAGCAAATCCTGCTTTAGAGTATTCCAGAATGTTTCCGAAGCATCTGATATGACTTCGTCGTAAGGGTAAAAACCGGGCCAAAGCGAAATTTTCTCAAAAAAAGTACAGAGGAGTCTGAAATATAGAGAACAAAAGAGTGTGAAATAAAGAACAGCTAAATCCTTCTAACTAAATAATATCATCAAACTACTATTGTGGAGCTAAATTTTGATTAAATCTTCTGGAATAAATAACAGTGCATCTGCTAAAAAAAACAGAAATTAGGAATCTCAGGACTCAAGTTCACTTTTTAATTCGAAATGATAGCCAAAGTTCTATAAATGGTATGAATTTTTATAAGCTTACCTCAGTACTTCGCCATTCCGCTTCTCCACACAACCGATTAGTAGTGATCGCATTGTAGTTTCAAAAAACTCAGCTAATGCTGATACCAGAAATCCGTATTCTTCAAGTTCGGAGATAAAATCCTCTCGATTCATATAGCTTTTCTCCTTATATCGTTTGCTCAAAATGTCAAGCTGTTCTACAACTGCCTAAAATTCACGTTCAATAAAAATCAGAGAAGTACTGATGTGTACATGGATAGATAAAGAGAGGAAAAGAGCTAATTGATAAATTAGTTCTAGCAAATTGTGAAAATGATAGAAATGACTCAGCTAGGATATACTTGCCAAACAGAGCGATCAGGTACAAAATGCAAAAATCATAGCAATCGCGATATATTAATAACATTCGTCCAAAACACCTATTTTTAAATTTGAACCTGTACTTTCTTATGCCAATGACTTCAAGAAACACAAAGGTTTCTATTAATTTCACGAAAAGAAAATGAACCGGGCACGTGATATTCGCTAAAAATGTAGCCAGATCCATCGCTAAATTTTCCATGTATGGCAAGTCGGAATGTGCGGAAACAACAATCAAAACACGAGCCAGTGCAACCCTGAACTACGCATTTTAACAAGAGAAGTAATCAAAAAGTGAAACTACCAAAATGATGACCGTTTATGAAGTAGCACAGATGTACTAGTCTTGCCTAATAGTTTTATATTATTTATAGTTAAGAGAACAAGGAAAACGGAAGAAAACCTTCGAACTTCAATTCCTTTTTAATATTAAAGTAGAGAAATGCGAATGGGAACTTTATACATTCCTCTTTTTAGGAATAAGTTCAGCAAATACCTATCACTTAGGTTGCCTAAAAAAGGCAAAAGTGCAGGCTGCCACCGCATTAGTTCAACGCTAGGTAATCGAAGCCACTGTTCAAGACATTCAACAGCGGCATTCCTCAAAGATGGAGATGAGTCTTTATCACACAAAATCATGTTGATGATCTTTATAATATCCTGAAAATGAAATCAAAACTACTGATAAAAAGATGAATTATTCCAAGCAAATCGAAAAAGCTAACAAATATTTTTCCGGCTGTTAATCACTAGCCTACGAAATGACCATGAAACATAATCAAGACTTCTGTCTCACTGTCCACTTTAAATGTTCTCCATGTCTTTCAAAATAGAACAAGTAATGCAGTTCTATTAAGAGTAGAAACAAATGACAGTTCATGCTTTAGTTGTATGACCACGTGAATTTAAAACACGATATACCTCAGCCTTCTGATGCAAACATGATTTCAGAATGGATCGCTGTGATAATGGTAATCGTATGCGGTAAAATTCTGCTGCCAATTCAGCCAAAACTCTAGAAATGAAGATAAACAATAACTTTTAAAGTCACGGCAATTAAAGAATTAACTAGTAAGCTGGAAAGATTTCAGGTAAAAAATAATTCACTGATTAATCGCTCATCCAAAAGCTTGATTTATGAAAAAACTTGTGCTTGAATTAGTCCGAAAAATGGATTAAAATTTCAGCAATATGATTTAATTGTTAAAAATAAAAAAAAATTGCCTTAGTAATAACTCTGGTTTATCGTTCCACATTGTGGTTAAATCTTGAATTGGTTCCGACCAAATATCAGGCATACAATACAGAATGAAAATAGCTAATGATGAAGTGAGCTTATTAGTGACAGACTGATTTAGAAAGGGAGCACCGAGTGCCAGCTTTTCCAAAAGTGTTTCTTTAATTTTCACTATCTGCAAAAGTAATATACTTTGTTTGCAATAACTTGAAAACTTTTTGAAGTAATTTACCAAGACTTTACAAATCCCCGAAGCAACAATAACTCATACTCTTTCAACTTAATTTTATATCTAATAATCTTATCGTCCAAACAAAAGTAAAAATTAATCCAGGAAAACGTTTACAGACCAAAGCTTCATTTGACAGGCATTCCTCCCAACGTTCGCGTATTGTATCATAAAAAATGCATGCTCCAAAATGTTGCACAACAGTTGGTTGCTCGAAATCAAGCAAACGAAATGATATCATGAATCCATTTTCGGCTATAAGCAAGCAACCATCTTTTTTGCTTAAAGTGATGACTTTTCAATTTTTGTGGGATATACACTGTTAACACCTCACAGTTTTCATGATGGCACAACAAATACTTTTATTCACTGATTGTTACATGGATAAACATTTCTTTTGTACGGATCCATATAAAAGAAATATTTATCTATTTATTACTCCTGATATGAATATGTTAATGCACTGATTGTTATTTATGTTTCTCTCTTAATATGACAATATAACTTACATTTCTTTAGCGTAGTCAGCGCATCGTCCAATTCTCGACATCGCTTTTGATCGGTCGTCGTATGCAACTCATTCAGTGCAGCAATAATCTGTGATAGCATAGCATCCTCGTCATCAACCATTTCTGATTATTAACTCTTAGCAGAATAATTCACCTGAAAGATTCAGCCTTACTAATATATTAAAAGTTTATACGTATAAAAATGAATGGATCATCAATATGCTAATTTTCAGTTGTCCATATAAAACATATATGGTCTACCAAAACGGGGTAAAAAGTGAATTAAACGTTACTTTTAAATATTGCTTGATTTATATGAGCTAAAATTTGCTCAGAACATTTAGTATAAAACGTTTATCACTTAATACTTATCATCTTTTCCGCATTATACTCGATATTGTTCTCCTCTGCATGTTATCTTCAATTCATTAGGGTTTACTCTTTCTGTGCAATACATTCACTCAATTTAAATAAATAGGCATTTTCAAAAAATAAGTATAAAACGAGGAGTCATAACAGTGTTATCAATAATATAACAACTGGCCAACTGCTATTAAATTTTTCTCATATTTTGTTGGTTTGTATTCTGCCAATTTTACTAATTACTGGAAAGCAGCTAGGATCAAAAATTAAATTCGATTTGTGGTGAAAGAGGAAAGGAGAGAGATCTGCAGGCTTACGAGTGTGTGTACATGCATATATGAGAGAATGCACTTCTGATGCTAAACAAACAATATCCCTTTCTATGATCATCTACAAAGTAAGATGAAAAAGCATCCCTATACCTTCAAAACTTACTGCACGCCTTCCCTGCAAACACGTATGCATGCAGAGGATGCACACACGCACGTATCATCCACTAACCACCGTCAACTACAGCACTGATTCCAAGAAAACACTCTAACCGAGCGCCTCCCCCACTTTTTACCATATTTCAGCATTTCCTTGCCAACTTCTTTCGGATTTCGTTGGCCTACAGATAGAAATTTGCTTGTTTGTGGGTGATGTTTAGATTGACATTTTTCGAAAATTTGGACTACTTAATATAGAAAAACAATTTCTTAATAAGAAAATCCCATTGTCAGAATGAATTGAATAAAATTTGAAACGAATGAATTTAAAATCTAAAATGCATAAAGTGCGGTCGTTCATCAAAAGAGTAGTTGTTGGGAAGGGTGTTGTACTAATTCATTAATTGCATGTATGTCTAAGTTTTAGTCTAAATCTAAATCAAATTTCCTACAATCAATGCAAGTCTAATGAGACCGGAAATTCACTGAGAAATGAAATAACAATCTCGAAAACACTTCAATTCTGAAATTTGAACTTGCAAACTTAGCTGCATTGATCAAAATGGATGCTAAAAGCTGATTTTTCATTATCACATAACTTTATCAGAAATTTTGAACAATTCAAGTTTAATATTTTGTTGTCAGTAATAAGATACTTGAACTCTTCTTTTTTCAGGCATAATTTTCAAATATCATTTTGAAGTCACATTTTCTACGGATATGATTTGTCCAAATTAATTGTAGAATATATGTAATGGTACCGCACCAAAATCATCGATAAAGCATTGTTCACATAACCGTGATAAAAAGCTCCCGAGAATTTAAACAATGGAATAACAATCTGTTACTCTCGTCATTCGTTAGCAAATTTATTGGAATTAGTAATTTTCATAGCGATGCACCGATTATTGATCGGTATGGTCAAAATATGAATGATCTATATGGTCAAAATATGAAAGCATTTCTGTAAAACACGATGTTCTTTCCTGTGGCAATGAAATTTAATTAATTAAAATGCTCTCATTTCACTCTCAAATGCAAAGAATGAAAAGGATCACAGTGCTATTGGACCAGTGATTTGGCTAAATCTTAATTTTAATTTTATTTTAAAATTTCATTTATCCATTTATATTACTCTTTTCTCGTGCAACGTATTTTCCATTCAAGATTTTTTGTAACCAATGTGAATTTTCTCAACCATAAGGGCAAGATAAGTTTATGTTTAAGAAATGCTATCACTGTTCACCCCATGATAGTCTAGCCCAATTGTTAGCCGATCTTTTTATCAATTCTTATCAATAAAATTGCAAAATATAAACTTACAGATATAGAAATACTAACCATGGCTTGCTCTCGAACGGATGATCATATGTTGCACCATCAAAATGTTAAAATCTCGAAAAGTTACAATTCCAATGATCCAATCATTCAATATTGCAGAAATGTACACCTTTTAAATAAAAAATCTTTATTTCTGTCCATAATTTTTCATTGCTTTTTTTCTCTCCATTTATTTTCTGAAATGTTTTCGAAAGATTTAGATAATAGATTTTGAAGAAAAGAACGTGCATTCTATATTCAAAGTTAACTCATATTCTATTGAAATTCAAGCAAAAAGCATTGAAACTAAATTGGCATAATTTCCTCTTATTTGAAAATGTTATTCAGTCATCGGTGAAGCAAAATGTCATAGAGAAGGAGCTTAGAGAAAGGACTATACAATTTCATAAAGATTGTATCATGCTTGGAGCACCTGAAGTACTTCAAATGGGAAAAAATATGATCAAATTAATTAAGGCTAAGCGTATTTTGGATATTGGTTCGTTGTTTTAAATTATAATTTTCTATTACACGGATTAAAATAGCTTAGCTAAATAACTCTTCAATAATTACTCTGTGTAAAATTACTTTGACTTATTGAGTTAAAGTATTATACAAGTGAAAAAATATTTTATCAAATCAAACCCTGTGCAGTTAATTTTTGCGATGTTTTATTATTAGAATTGGCTTGCTAATCAGATAATTTAAATAGGTGAACTTGCAGGTACTTTTACTGGAGCATCAGCACTAGCATGGGCTTTTGCCTCATCACCAGATAGTGAAATATTATCGATGGATATATCGCATGGAAGTCTAAGGATTACAAAAAAAATTTTTGAAAAAATTCCAGACATTGCCAAAAAGATCAATTTTAAATTGGGACATGCCCTGGAAACATTGGGTAAAGTATGCAAATGATTAAAAAATTAAATAAAAGATTATTGAGATAGGATAGATGTTATCTGAATGTGGAATTGATTCGATTTAGAAACTATGAAATTTATTAAACAATTTCTTTAGACACATTGATAGCTAATGGTGAATCTGGGAACTGGGATTTCGCATTTATTGATGCCGATAAGGAGAATTATCCAAATTATTATGAACGATGTGTTCAGCTGCTGAGATCAGGTGGAATTATACTCATCGACAATGTAGGTTAAGTTTCACTTTTTTAAAAAAAAAAAAAAACTGGCATCACATCTAAAATTTTAAGAAATTTCTTCATCCCGGAAATGATCTGGATAGATCTGCACATGTGCGGAGAGACCAGAGTGTGTTTTGCGAAATGATAGATCTACTTCAGCAAATGTCGATCTTTTTTTTTGCCAGCCGCATTTTTTTCGAACTTCCTGTGTAAATAACTCTAGTATAAATTGTCCATTAAATGGGTCTGCAATTGACTGAAATTTATTCATTTACAAATTGTAGTTTTACATAACTTGAAATTTCTATTCGTAATTGAATTCTCTTTCTATTTTCTTTTCAAAAATATTTGGCAACCAATCTCATATTGTAAATGAAACCGAATAATAAGTGTTGACAGATTTGTTAGGCTTTATGGAATGGTAAAGTTGTTGGAGAGAATAAAGACTATGCTACTGAATGCATCGATAAGGTTAACCAGCTGGCCTATAAGGATAATCGCGTTGACAATATTCTGCTCACTCTTGGTGACGGTACACACCTAATTTTTAAGCATTAACGGGAAGATGGACAGAACCAGAACGAAAAATGAACTGAACCTTAACAATTTAAACCAGATTTTTTTGTCCAGATAAACATTTGATCAACTTCGATGGAATTGAACGATAGGGGATATTCCCCCTTTATTCTTTGTGAAATTATTATGTTCATAAACGAATGTGGTTTTTATAGTTGTTTACAATTTGATTTTTTAAATATTTCCTGAGGTTAAATAAACCGGAGACAGTCTAAGAGAACTAATTTTTAATGTAAAATAAGAATGATCGAAGTAATTTTTACTTCAGAAATAACGAAGAGTGGAAAATTATACAAAGTGACAAACTCTTTCCAAAGTTACAAATCTTTTTAGCAAAATCCAGAATTCCATAATTAACAATCCGTTCCAATCATATGTTCTTGCAAGAGTTTTTTTATATCATCTAAATTACATATTAAAAAAGACCCGTGTTGATTCTGAAAAAACCAAATTTCAGGATGCAGCAAGAAAAATTATGAAGAGATTTTTTAAAATTCATAATTGGATGACATAAAAAATAAGAGAACTCAAATGTACGTATATCAAATACCTAGTACATGTTTATTTACATGTAAAAAAGAATATTAAATGCAAAAATGAAAATTAATTAGCGAACACCAATGCATTCCAAATTTGGTGGTCCAGCCGAGGTTTGCAAGAAAGCATTTCTTGCAGATGTAAAAGCCTCTCTGATCAGTTGCAAATTTTCAATACTTGTTACGCAGCGTGCCGTATTCTTCTGATCATACGGTTCTTCGATAAATATCTTAAAGCGCATGGTATTTTCTGCTAACAGCTCCCTAAAAAAAAAACACTTTCCCAAAATTTAAAGATTTTACTATAATGATCAGAAGAATAAACTAAATAAACATATACATTGGGGACATCGGAATAAGTTCTGCAAACAATATGTGGGAAATATCCTGCCTGCTGTAGGCCTGCTACATGGAATCGTCACTGATGGTATGAATATGCATTAACTGAAGCTGTTTGTTAAAGCAGTATATATGTAAAAGAACAAACCGACAAAGTTTAAATAACAATGAAGAAAATAAAATGATTACCTGCCATTCACGGATCCATTACGAATCGATATTGCCTTATTTTTGAAATCGAAACGAGCGTAATAATCAAAAAATGCTATCAGCAATTCGCCAACTGTTTCAGTGTTAAATTCACGAGCTACAGTGATTTCAAAAATTATTCACATTTAAAAAATAAAGCAGTGGTAATTGAAGGAAAATTTTTGAAACGAAGTTCATTAAAACATACGTGGCAGTGGATGCGGTAGATCTCGAAACAGTTCTAAACTGTCTAAGCTACAAGTTGCATTGAACAAAGAAGGATAGAGAAATTGAAGATTCGGCAAAACCGGTGGTAGTGCTCCACATTGCAAAAAGTGTAGAACCATCAAAATCAGTGAGTAGCTTAAAAAATACATGTCTTAATAGCTGAATAAAAATTAAGGCTTATAAGTTTGAGAATGAAATTCTGTAAAGCTTAGGCAAAAATTAAACGAAAAAGTAGTAAAGTGATGCTTTTATGCACTAACTGAGTATTATCTAATGAAATTATGTGATGAATTTCAGGCACATAGTTTGAATATGAAATTAATCGCAGACCTGTTCAGTGTTCCCATCATAGCGTTATTAATACCAGCATTGATGGCCCAGTGTTTCACAAGCAGACATAACGCTGGGAAACGATCGTCAACTCTAAATGTTTATACGTATAAACTGTTTCATCGTTTAAAAAAAATGAAATTTATTAATTTTTCAAGTAAGCTTATTTAACTTGGACTTGCTGCGCAAAATTATGGGTGTAGGAAGAAGTTGTAAAAATACCTTGAATAATAGTGAAGAAGATGTGAATTATATATTCCAGCTACGTTATTACAATTAATATCTATTTCCAATTCTTCATATGGTGCGGCCATCTCCAGTTTTATTATTGGAACCTGAAATAACTTATTATCATGCATTCGAGTATTGAAATGTATGAAAATTATTCCTCAAGGTACTGCTACAGTCCGACTAATATCTTCCAACACGTTTCTAAACTTACTTTAGCTGGTATATACTGGCA